CTGAGGTCCATATTAGAAAAGCTGCTAAAATCATAAAACTTTACAGAATTGTAATAAATTAGCAATATAAATTGCTGGTCTGTGGTAGTGTATTAATTCGTAATGGAAAACAATAAGGTTGAACCAGGTGGAATCAAACCCACAATGTTTGGTCTGCAGACCCGTGTCATTACCAATTGCGCCACTGACAAGAGCAAGGGGTGCCTGGAAACCAGAGTGATGAGCAGTCAGAATTAGATCGCACTGAGAGGCGAAAAACGCCGGTTTTTTTGGTGTTACAAAACATCGTGTAACTCAAAAAGTAGTTGGGATAGAAGAATAACTCTTGTACTGGGTCTTGGCATAGGCACACTTATGCACACTAACCCTAACCCTAATAAGAAGAATAAATCTGACGAATAGTAATAAGTGTGCCACTCGGCATAGGCACACTTAATAATGAAATTATCAATGTACTAAACATGGTGCATTCAGACTCAATGTCCCCAGCCACCCTTAGAATGCTTGTCCAAGCTCTACAACAGGTGGGAGTTGAAGCTCTGACGTACCAGGGCATCTCCCACTGCTACTGCACCATCACTGAATGTTTAGGTGAAGCCAGTCTGTCCAGCGTACTCCCCCGCCACCTGATCCAACTCGCCACCAGGTGGTGATCCGCTCCTCTCTTCACCCGAGTTCCCAGAACATATGGCTGCATAGCTGATGATATGATTACAAAATTGATCATCGAACTGTGACCTAGGGTGTCCGAGTGCCACCTGCACTTACGGGCATCCTTATGTTCGAATGTGGTGTTCACTTTGGACAAACTGTAGTTTGCACAGAAGTCCAGTGTGGGCAGTTGCAAGTTGAGTTTAAAGGTGTTGATTATGGAGCAGGGGCTTCTTTCTTGGATGGCACCCTCTTAGTTCCTGAGATGTTTCCAGTTCATGGCAAGCTTGAGCCTTGGTGGTTCCTGGGTATTCTTGAACCAACCAATTTCCTCTCAACCTGAGGGGGACAGTTTGGGTCTTCCAGACCTAACAAAGTGTTGACTGATCCAAATAACTTCTACTTAGTAATGTAAAGTTAAAATACCTTACCTTTTTAATGTTAAAAGACATTCAGCACCACTTATTAAAAATGTAAGCGGGTGTATGTATACTTTTTTCCTATGTGGATTGTAGAGAATAAAATTCCTGGTTCTTTTTTTTTTAGGTTACATCCTGGAAAAAGAACAGTTCAGAGAAATGATGAATAGCACAAAATTACCCTAACATTCATGGCCATGATTAGTGGATGAAAACTTCTGACTGCAGCTGTTGTCGTGTTCAAATTTTTCAGAAGGGATTCAGGAGAAATTTCTGTCGGTTAAAAAGATTTAATTTGCTTCAGCAGTTGAAATTACAAGTTGAAGCATTGAACCTCTGTGTGAACCACTGGTCTGCTACTCAGAAAGGATGACTGTCACAAATCACTGAGGACTCACACGCAGGACGCTCCAACTTGACAAGGACACAGTGGAATTTTTTACACGTTCCACCAAGTGTATGTACAGACAGCGTAGGGAATAGTGCCATATACAAAGGTGACAGGGGTGTGTGCTCCAGGGAATCCAAGGTGGGGAGGATGGGGGGAAAACACTCGCTCCTCTTCGATCACTCACTGCTCGCCACCGGCCACTCTACAATCACTCGCTACAAGGAATCCTCTCAGGGAACACAGGGACGGGTCCGGGAATTTATATACAGAACATACACGTTAGCACAAAGGCACAGAAGTAACAAAGGCTTTATACTTTGAGAGCCCGGCTACACTGACGCGAGTCACACAATGATCCAGCGATGAATAGCCGCCATCCCTCGGCTTAAATGCTAACAGCGTAAGGGTTCAGCTGTTTCCTCTTCACGGGTACGTAGCCGAGGGCATGAACCCACATTGAGTTCCGCCCCGGCGAGAGAGAGACAACAGTGCTACTGATCAGCTACCTGCTGATCCAAAGGGCCCTGACAATAATGGTGAAACGGGCTGTCCAGCTTATATACTGTGACAATAACAAAAGATTATTATGGTCATCTTCTCCCAACACAAATGCGGCAGTGTGCTCCTCCCATCCATTCACTTCCGACCTCCCATCTGCTCTGATTCCTGGAAGACACAGACACATAAATACACCCTATGTATCCTTGGCTATCTGCTCTTATTGTTATGCTGATTTCAGTTCAGGACATCTTTTTCGGACTTCCTGACCCAGAGACTATTCTAACCATTATCATGTATGTAAGCATGCTGCAAAAACCCTCTGCACTCTACGTGTGCAAATTTTCAAATCCAGACAACAGCGCTGAATGAAGCTCTCAACCCTCAAACACACGCCAACACACTTATGAGCACATTTGCATTGTTTATATATTAACATAATAAAATGGCTTCATTTAATTATTTTATAAACAATTTAACAAATTTTCAACACTGAGTTTGAATGTGAGTGTGACAGAAGTCTTTGCTTAGTTTCTGTCCTGTTCATCAGTGATTCAGGACCTCTACGACTCGCGAGAACCCCATCACCACCAGAAGACGAGAGTCCACCTGATAGTCCAGATCTCAGCACCAATCATATGCTCCGTCCCATCTCACCTGGACCGCCTCGACCCAAATCTCCAATGCAGGTAAGTGTCAGGTCCCATGTAGATGTTAGTCACTGGATCTAGTTGTGTATCTGGACAAAATAATAATTTTCATTGTTTGTAAAAATGTAAATGTAGTAATTAGTTTTGCACTTGAATATTTGACCGAAGTTAATTTCATAGGTGCAGGTGTCAAACTCCAGTCCTCGAGGGCTGTGGTCCTAAACTTTTCCATGTGTCCCTGCTGCAGCACACCTGAATAACATTAGCAAGACTTTATAGGACTTGACTGCAAGCTGAGGAAGCAGTTCAGCCCTTTGATTCGTGTAACAGCAGCTCATGAGTGAATGAACATGGTGCAATAAAAGTACTTTTAGAAGTACATTTTTCAAAACCCTTTACTTCACTCTAAGTTACTTGAGTAGGGTTAGGGGTTGCAGTCAAGCTTTATAGAGTCTTGCTAATTAGCCACTAACGTTATTCAGGTGTGTTGCACCATGGACAAGCTTCAGGACAGCGGCCCTCAGTGACTGGAGTTTGACAGCCCTGGATTTGGATTGTGTTTTTAAAAACATGAAAATTTTAATAATTTTAAACACCCGACCTCACTCACAGCAGTGATCGATCACATGGCCTCATTACCAAAGCATTCAGGTGTTTCCTTTAAAAACAGAACTCTGTGGCAGTGCTGCTAACCAACTTTTGTCCTCCGCTGTTGACGGCGGAAATCTCTTTGCTGTTCCAACCTCAAAGGCTGCGAATAGGAATTTCTGTCAGTGATCAATAATGTCAAAGTCACAGCTCACCATTGTCTTTAACTGCAAAACTCGACCTGATCAGACTGAACAATAATAACAAGTGATCGATGGGTATGCATGACTGATAGTGGTGTGTTTGTTTGAACTTCACGGTAACTTTCTGGGACTGTTTTTTCTTTGCTGCACACTTTTGTCTGTTGATTTGGTGAGTGAACAAGAGCTGTCTGTCCTGTGTCTGTGCCTCTGTCTGTAGATCACTACAGCAGTGTTATATACAGTCTGCAGATCATATATAACACAGTAGAGCCCGAGAGTAGAACATCACCTAGTTTCTACTGATGTTCATGAGATCTGACCTTTCCTAACATTTAATGTTCTGTACATGTCAGTGTATGTTGGTGTGTCTGTAATGTCATGGCAAGTTTCTACAACACTGGTTGAGTTTGCTAAGGTGCAGTGCAAGAGCTGATATCTTAACCAGGAAATAGTGTAAAAACACCAAAACACGGAGGATCTCAATTGTCAGCCAGCCCATATGAGCTGCTGCTGATACTGAAATGTCATCAGACACCTTAAGACAAAATACAGGAATATCTGAGCATTGGTTCATTGACTCAAATAAAGACGCTGGCTGTGTAATGTGCAGATTCTTATGTATGATGTACAATAATAATTAAGTTTGTTGGTGTACAAATGATCAAAAACATTTTTACAAAAACGAAATACAACCAAAATTAAAGAAAGGAGATTTATCATTTCTAAAAAACATTTGTTGTCTAATTTTAAAATAGAGCCACGGCAGACTAGAGCACACTCTGACCATACTAACGAATGAAAACAAGTCATCACATCTCAGTGATGACTGAAAGAAAAGGAGCACTCTGCTGTTTTTTCTTACTTACAGAACTTTGAAGGAGGGTTAAGATCCACACATGAGTCAGGGTCGGGTCTGAATCCTCCTTGTCAGTCTGACATGGTGGGGGTTCACATTGTAATCATGTCATAGAGATGGTAAATGGACTGTTTCTTATATACAACCATTCAGTAAAGCACTGTTTTTTGTTTTAAGTGCGTTCTGACATTCACACACTGCTTCAGAGAGCAACATGGGGTGGTATCTTGCCCAAAGATTTGGTATGCAGACTGGGATCAAACCACCAACCTTCCGGTAAGTAGGTGACCTGCCCTACCACTCACCCTGTGGGTGGGTGCAGAACTAACTGAAAATACCAAACAGTTAAATCTAAACAGGCTGAAAGGTGAAACTAAAAAAACTAACCCAAAAATGCTACCACATAATCAGCAACATTCATTGTACACTAACCATTAACTAAGGTACCCAGCACACACACTTAAAAGTTAAGAACAAGTGTCCCGTCCAATCCCCCACATAGTTTCAAAGGAGCCCAGTCTATCAGTCAGAGAATAAAAATTCAATTCAATTCAATTCAATTTTATTTATATAGCGCCAAATCACAACATAAGTCGCCTCAAGGCGCTTCATAGATACAGAGAAAAAAACCCAACAAT